ACTTCTTTTTTAAACATCATTATCTGACAGATGTTTGTAATGGAGATGAAACACATTACGTGGAAGTTGGGAACTGGCATTTAAAACATTATTTTAAACGGTTTGCCTTATGAAGAGCAAATTAATTACCGTATTTACGCATGTATAGGCCGAACATTTTTTGCCAAAAATTCAAGAGGAAAACTGGGGTGCGGCTTATATTCGAAATATTCGAAATCACACTTCATTTAAAAAAATTAACGTTGCCAAATTTCGGAATAATTTCTACTCCTGAAATAATATTCCAAGAAAACTATTTTTTCTATAATTTCTGTCTGAAAATTGTGCTGCGGCCTACACACGCACGCGGCCTATACATGCGTAAATACGGTAGTTCCCCCAAGAAAAGATCCCCATGTACCCATTTAAGATGAAGCTTGGTGGGCTTAACATAGAGTCCGGACAACGTGCTGAAGAGAAAAATCTGTTCCCCTTACCACGAATGAAACGCCAATTCTCTGACGTAAACATGAGCCGAGCAGGCTCACATCTGCATAGAGTTATGCAGATTCATAGCGGGCAGTGAGCTCTATGGTTTAGACTGGAATGTGGACCGTTCCGAATAGGAAACAGAGCCCTAGGTTTCACATCGTGACCATTGCAGAAGAGAGTTTTTTGCACTACAACACGAAACCATATATCACAATTCGTACGTGTTACTTTCAGAACATAGAAAAGTTTCTGAGGGTTGGTGCCAAATGAAATCTGCCTCATATTTTCTCGCATATCCAGTCCGACAGCAACAGCTATTCCGCTGTAGAAACATTAATAACAATTGAGGCAACTCATGAATTACAGTAAGGTTACGAGCGAACGTAAGTATCAATACTTTCCGCCGGTACTCAGTTTGTTTTGTGGGTTGTTATTATTATTATTATTATTATTATTATTGGAGGGGGTGGGTTTCCCCAAGCACTTAGACCAGTTATTGGTCCATTGTGCGTCCCCCCTTTAATTTCTACTGTCGCCATACCCTACCGGTACTGGTGCGTGCTATCAGCCCCGTTCAGCCAACGAGGTTGGCCGTCGGTACCTTATATTTCCCCCATCTACCAGAGGCATTGGAAACTACTTGGGCGGGAAACTTTTTGCCTAATTTTGCTCAGAGGTCTCCTACAGACATGAGGATCTTTTACGTGCTGTAAATCTACGACATGGGACCCACGGCTTAAAGTCCCTCCCGGAGGACTTGTTCCCTGAATTTTTCCGCCCTTAAAAATTCCACGACCTCCGCCGGGTCATGAGGTGGGAACGTTACCTCTAGACTATGGAGGCCGCTTTGTTTTGTGGGTTACTTAACGACGATATAAGCAGCCAAACTATAGAGCGCAGAATTATAGGGTTCTATATGAATGGGGAACTGGAAAGAAGCGATTGTGGCCATTTAAAATATCCGATCCCACATTTGCCTAGAGGGACTAAGGTAAACAACGAGAAACCTTAATCGGTACAGCTAGTGTCCCAACCGAGAATCGAACCAAGAATCGTCCAAATGCGAGCCTACAAAATTCCCGTTAAGCCAAACCGATATGTACTTCAGTTGTGGAAATGTCTTTCCGTTAACGATTAATTTGCTTAAAAAAATAAGTACAAACACCCGTAAACAATTCAGTGCTCTTCGGTTGAAACGTAATATGCTTTATTTTAAGAGTTTATGGGCTAATTTTATTTTATTCTACTTTGACACGGTACTTAGAAGCTAGTAAAAGGGGAGGTAACATTTTAGATGTGAAATGTATGCATTAAGATACTAATTACAGTAATCAATCATACAAAACTGAAGTAGAGGTCTAGGTAAGCTTAGGGAGAGAGAAAGTTAAATGAGGATAAGCAGTTCCTGCTCTTTGCACTAAAATTTTTAATTTTCTTTCCTTGGACAATGAATACTAGAAGGACCCATACGGGGAGGGTATGTCTGTCCGCCCGTCTATTCGCCGGTCCACAAGTTTCAAGTCGAGAACAGCTTGTCAGATATTCATAAAATTCTTATAAAAACTTTATTGCACAAGAAGCCACTCCATACTCTTAGAAGCTTTTGCAACCCTGCGGAGGGCCTATTATGTTCTCTCAGTCAGTCCCTCCGTAAGCGTGCAACAATTCGAAACCCGCTGAACTTAAAATTTCATGAAGAACACAGTCTTCTGGGATGTGGGGCGGTGTAGATATTCTGTTAACCGACGTTTCGGAGGAACGTATCGCCATCATTTTCAAGGTATAATAAATCCGCCAACGATGAATCAACGTGAGCAGATGTCTGTCACTGCCGTGAAAATCTGAGATCTTACGTACAATTTGATGTTGCAGAATCTTACGAGAACTGGCAGCCATTTCAGTTTTCTTTTGAATGAGACATGTTAAACGATGTTATATGAAGACCTACGTGGACGCCTAAGCTTATCTTGCTAAATATTGTTTGCAGAGAGAAATGTTTTCAACGATAGTTATAGAGCAAAATGAAGCAAATTTTCTCCGCAAGGATTTAATATTTAGCGAGTAGCTATGGCCTCCATAACAAAATATATTTTAAGAAAAACAAAGATTGAATTGATATTGCGTTAAAATCAGGCTTCTTTTGTTCTCTAATTATAGCGCTCCTTTACAATGCGACTCGGAAGCAAATTATGGCAGATCGATTCAGGAACCGACGATGTTATAAGGTAAACGAGTAATTAGTGATTGATGTTATGATGCGGTCCTAATTACGTGTTTACCAAAAACTCTTGCCTCTACACGAGTGGTAGGGGTGGGAGGAAGCCCTCTTTTGGTTGCTGCTGACAGGAAATACAGTTCCGAAGCCACGAAAACAAGTACTCACCCCGGGGTGAAACTAGGCAGGCAATCTGGGAAGAGGCGTGAGAGTACACGTTGGCCGGAAATATCCTGTTTAGGAGTCAGTCGTGGTCTTTAACGCCCCCCACTGCAGAAACGCAGAGCAGCCAATGAGGTGTGAATATATGTCCCAGCTGACTGTCTGATGTCCAGGACGAAAACTGTGTTTTCGCGTGTAGCCAACTGAGGGCTCCAGGAGCAATTCACATTCCTGGCGAATTGCCTGAAGTTCCCTTAAAAACAGTTTGCAGTGCGAGGTAGCCCATGTTCTGACTCTGCTCTATGCATTTAAGCTTTTACTCAGTGCAATGCACCAAAATCTACTAATTCTGTTCGGCTTGTTGCAAAATTAAATTAAATTAAATAAATCAGTCTCAGAGCCGGTCACGGTGGCCGAGCGGTCTAAGGTATGTACTGTCTTCGCTCGCTTTGAAACCGGGATCGTGGGTTCGAATCCCACTCAGGGCATGGTTGTTTAGTTTGTGTGTGTGCGATTTTCTGTGTTTGTGTACAGGTAGAGGCCTTGCGACGAGCTGATCACCGGCCCAAGGAGTCCTACCGAATGTGTAAGATCTAGAAAAACCGAAGTGAACGGAGAAGTTCATGGAGGTAGGCCTAGGCCCCCTGGGGCTGTAGTGCCAAGGGAAAAAAATCACTCTCAGTATTAAGTCCTTCTTCATTTTAAATTCTAAGTTCTTAGATTAATTAACTCAAAAGACAATGTACATAAATCACAGACTGAAGATCATTCTAGCAGACTTCATGACACACACAAATAAATGTGAATACGAAATTTAATCCTGCCTGAGCGCACACACGCTGAAGCGAAGAACAACCCCAATAAGTCACCGTTAATTCACCAATTATCCCATGCCATGCATTTGTTCCCACTACCTACAGCTATCTGCTCATCCCCATTAATGCCATAAAGTTTCTACATGCAATATCCCTGGGTTAAAGAACATGCTTTGCCGAACATACTGGAAAGCTACACCAAATGTGGTCACATTCCTCATAATACCGTTTCAAATGGAGGTTACAGAAGTCCAAACTATTACGCCTATGCTGTTCGTTGAGGTTTTTTTTCAACAACTTTGAACTAACTTCATGGAAATAATGTCTGTGTTGGATGATTCCATAGGCTGTACTACAACGGTTGCCACTGCATCGGCAGTCACCCTGTAGTTGTCGGGAATTAGCGCGGGCTTCCTCAGTCTTCCCTTCAGTAGTCAACGCGGAGGTACGTAGTGATTATTCCCTATCAGTGACAATTGTTCCGCCATTTTTTAACATGTCAAATTATTATCACACGTGTAAGATTTGAGGCTTTCACGGCGGTGACTATGAAGAAAGCAGTCTTCTGGGATTTGGCACCGTGTATATGTGGTGTTAACCGACGTTTCGGAGGAACGTATCGCCTCCATCTTCAGGGTAGAAGAAAAAGTATAAGAAATCTGCAAGCGACAAGACCGTGAGAACGGTTTCACGTTTCGCTGGGCCAAGACACTGTCGTACCGCGCTGAGATTCTTCGATTAATTTCCACAACACTTCCACCTTCATCCCCCCCCCAAACAGACACACAACACGTTGCCCTTCCTTGGTGCATGTGGTAAGAGGAGCGGCCATGCTGACGCCAGTTGTGGCGAAAGGCAAGTAAGTTACTAAAAGAACGTGGAGGCTCCGTGCTTACACAATGTTTATTCGACATTTCAAGAAAATCGATCGTCTGCTTCAGACATTAAAATGGGGAACAAAATGAATGCACACACGGCATTGTTATCTCAAACTCCTAGTTATTTTTCCTCCCTAAGGAATGAAAATAAGCAAGACGTATCTATATATGGCTCTACAGCCCTTATGGACCTTGACCGCTTTTTTCAGTTTCTTAATCTATACACAGATGGTAGGACTCCTTGGATGGAGGATTAGCCCGTCGCAAGACCGCTACCTACACACAGAGCAACACAAACATACATATCCATGCCTTGAGTGGGATTGGAACCCATGATCCCAGCCTTCGAGCGAGTGAAAAGAGTTCATGCCTCAGCGCGGCCACTGTGATCGGCATTTTGTGCGCTACGTTATGGAATACACCCTTTCACGTCTTGCCTGAGGAATGAGCTTGCCTTACCGAGTTTATGTAGTTAATGAGGCTGAGGCCCCCGTCCCAGGGCAGTTCTTCCTCGCAGCTCACGTTGGACAGTCGAAGAGTGTGGCTTTGCTCCAGCATCTGCAGTCCCACAGCGAACACGTGTACCGAGTCGAACATGAGGGCGGGTTCAGCCTGAAACACACGCATCGTAGTGTCTTAACACAACTGCATTGTTTCATGGAGGCCCCTGACTTGGGCACAAGAAGATTCAAGCGAATGGTAACAGAAGGAAGGCAAAGAGCGCCCGTTGTCTGTTACGTAGCGGCAGCGTGGTAGAGAACTGTTGCGGCCCGTTAATATACACAGACCATGCACTAGTTTCACTCCTGTTTGTACAGTTCCACTACTACTCATTTCAGCTCGTTAATATTTAAAATTCTCATCGAGTTTGGTTTGAATTTCAAACTTATGGTGCAGAGAAATAATTGCTTACTTACGGTCATTTCTTCAGACTTATTTTTCGAGATCTTCACATAAAACTTTGTACAAATGCGTCAGTTCTTGTACATTTTACTCAGTATCTTTTTTTTAATTTGATATTTCTTTACTGCCCACTCTGTATTTCAATTGTTCTTATTATCCTTTCTTATTTCAGTTACTACAACATGAATTACTGAATTATAATGAAATAAACGAATTATCTTTCCTCATGATATCTTCGGCAAGAGCTTCCCTTCTGCTACGATCACAGTCATATATAAACATAGATTTTCTAACCGGTAAAATGAAACAATTTGATGCATTTTACAAAGTTTTCAACACTTACGCTCTTGCTATTATTCTCTGCAATTTCTAAATGTGGTATATTCCATTATCTGTAGCACGCCACCCTTTAACAATAGGCTATGATCTGTAACATACCCTCTCCAAATCTTTAAAGCATAAAGTTTACGTTGGCATTTATGTAGTACGGTATGTCTGAAACAAAGCTCATGGCAGGACAATTGTTAGCAGTCTTGCATCAACCTTTTCCTCGGGGTGTGTCCATGCATGTTTTCATTTTGAAGACCCATTTTATTAGGGGCTGAGTTTAGAAGACGAAAATAACTGCTGGAATTATTCATGGAAAGGACTGGAAAACTTAGTGAAGGTAAGCGGAGGGGCCTTCTTAATTAATGTATCACAGAGAGGATTTGATGCATAGTAAGTTAGTAGGCTATGAGGATGCGGGACAGCAGGTGTTTTCAATTTCAAGCTGTAAGCCACCCCACAGAAGGAGGCGAAATGTGACATTGAAAACTTATGGTGGGTTCCAGTAAAAGTAATGACTTTCAAAATTTATCTTCACTTTTCTTTATTATGTATCTAACCAACTTTCAGTTAAAATTAAGACTGTGACAGTGTCAAATGAACGTCACATTTCAAGTTTAATTTTTCTGGAAGGGAATATACTGCCGTCACTGCACTCTGTCTGCTCAAGAAATATAATGATCGTTTATTTTAAGCCACTGAAGAAATGTCATGGGTTTTATATGAAAAGCAGCTGGACAAGATTGAATAAAGTCCTACTTCCTTTTATTTTAAAAAAATCACAAATATTCACAACTTCAAAATATTTACGCTTATGATTAATTACAGTACACTTCGATTTAAATGGTTGTGACATTTCGTTACAAACGCGCAAATCGAGGGCGTTTCCTTCCAGAGACTCTATATTAAAACGGGAGTGTTAAATCTCTGAAGGTATATTTTTCACTGTAAACTTCTTGCTTATGATATCTTTCAGTTAAAAGAAATTGAAATAGCTTTGAAAAACAGATGAGACGGTTAAAATATACAAATATGGCATTCACAATATTAACCCATGACATTTGATAGTGAATGAAATTATAAATGTTATTCACTCAACTATTTTAGGCACCGTTTGCAATAATACGGAACAGCTACTCCCTTGGGTTGATTTCCATTCACATACGGCTTCGTTCTGCTGTGTACATATGAACTGTACGCGTTGGTTTGGCGATAGCGTTTGTTTCGAACTTCGGCCGGTTCACCGGCTCGCCTGATTTAGTCCTTCTGTGGATTTCCTCAGTCCCTTCAGGCAAATTCCGAGAAAATACCACAAACGGACCAAGATAACTTCCTTCACAATCTTTTAAAATTCATCAATAAACTACCATTCGAAGTCATATAGTTCAAATATAGAAAATGCCGTAAATTAACACAAACATCGAATTAATTTACCTATATATTTGTACAATATAGTTATTGAAAACAATACAAGGAACATAACACGACGGGGAACATAACACAGCAAGCAGGAATACACGCATGCGCACTAGGGTACCCATATATCAACAACTGAACTATTAACGCAGAAAAGCAGCAATTTCATCATCCACAATTTTTAACACCTGATGATGACCAGTTAAATCGAAAAATGTCGTGAAAACTTTTAAAGTGACTAGCTTTTATTAAGTTTTGATAATTTTTTCACGTAAAATTGCAGAATTAAAAACACTAAGTGTTCGCTAGAGATAGATGTAATACTACAAACATGAAGCCAGTTGAACTCATGAGATAAGAGCAATGCTTTCAATATCAAATACAGACCTCAGGAGTTTCAAATATTATAGCTATATACATTTTGAAATGCATTCAACTATCGGCTAGTTTTTAAGAAAAATAACATGATTTTTACTGAGACAATTATTTTCAAGTAAGTAAAAATACAGTTGTCCCTATGCTTAATGAAGCACCAGGCCATGAAGACGTGCGTGAGAGTGAGGTGTAGCTGCACCATTCTTGACCTCGGCACTAGATGGAGGTGAGTTGTTAGCTTCACCTCCAGAGAAAGAGCTCTCAACACCCACTGAAGAGGAGGTTGGGTGGGCACCAGAGCAAGTCTGAACGCTGTGAGGTAGAGAAATATCTCTTTCCCTTGCCTAGAATCGAAGGCCTGTCGTCCAGTCCGCAGCTCTTCACTATACCGACTGAACTATACGGACTTCTAAATTCTTTGCTGCGTTAATCTTTGAAAAGTACTATGGCATCCATCACAGTGACATTTTGGTTTGAGGTATATACTGCCTTCGAACACAAGAACACTGGGATTATGGGCTCTGATCCCACTTGAAGGATGGATTCTGTTCGTTGTGCCTTTGTCTTTTTGTTGTTCTGTGTAGTAGAGGCCTTGCGAAAGACTAATCTCCAGTCTTCCATATCCTAACGTCTAAATGATTCGTACCTTAAGAAGTTAATTCTAACTTTTCACTGACAAGAAGGCCTAATCTTGAAAAGCTGAGGAATAATGTGAAGCACCATGACATGTTACAGAAACATCCAACAGTAACTAGTAGACAACAATGGGTATGGAGACACATTTTGTAATCTTTCAGAACCTTGAAATACAAGAAAGGCTGTATGTAAGTGACTTTAAATTTATTCCTTAAAAAACAAGAATTTTTTGCAAGAATAAGGAAAGCCTATTTCATTTCAAAGTATATTCGTAGTGAGGTTTATTATTTTTTCTTCAGGCCCTACAGAGTTTTTACAATGTAACTGCAAAGTGGGAATTGTATGTGCATCTTGCCAATAATGATAAGTAAATCGTACCAACAATGGTACAACGTTTCGGTACTGTCATGTACATCGTACTGACAATGACAGGTACATTACAGAGGCAGTTTTATTCATAAAATATAACAATGAAAAGTACGTGTCCAAATCCATGTTAAAGTGACAAACCAATTGTACAAAATTTTGTTGTTTCAGTTTGTATTATGAATATACTGCGTCTAGTATTTTAGGGGAGCATATTTGGGCGAGACACGATATTTTGTCCTACATCCAAGCACTGGTTCCTTTTCCTTCAAGACAGAAGGCTGTTGATTTCATATAGAGAAATTAGTGCGAAAATGAGATTGTCCACAATTACGCCAAAATATAACATCTATCCTTTAAACAACGATCCTACCTGTATGATGAGAGATTTGTTGAGGATACTGTGGCCCACGGGTTGGAACCTTTCCATGTCCTTAAGTATTTCTCTCACTCCCACGTTCTCGGCATCAACGACCCGGAAAGCTGTCATGTTTACGAAGTTGTACTTGAAGTCTTCCAGATCGAACGTCTCGATGTCCTGCAAAAACAGAAACAACTGGAATAGAGATTCATAAGAAATAGGTTAACTTGCACATCTGTAGCAAATACCCAATGTATGAGTTAACAGACCACATAATCCTTAATTTTGGCCAATAAAATGTCTACCGCTGCTCTGTTCTTGGACATCAAAAAAGCCTTTGACACTACATGGCACTCTGGCTTGCTATATAAGTTGTCAAAATTGGAATTTTCGACAATCTTAATCAAGCTTATTGGATCTTTTCTTTCACAACAAGAATTCAGTGTTCCTGTGGAAGGTGAAACATCTACGCCAAGGGAAATGCAAGCAGGATGCCACAAGGTTCAGTCCTGTCCCCTAAACTTTACAATATGTACATAAGTGATGCACCCCAAACACATGACATTCATCTAGCCCTCTTTTCAGACATCTGTCTGTATGTGAGAAATCGGCGGAGGTCGTGGAATTTTTAAGGGTGGAAAAATTCACGGAACAAGTCCTCCGGGAGGGACTTTAAGCCGTGGGTCCCGTGTCGTAGCTTTACGGCACGTAAAAGAACCTCATATCTCCAAAGAAGGTCACTGAGCTAAATTCAAGGACATTTCCCGCCCAACAATAGTCTCTAACGCCTCTGATAGATTGGGGAAGCATTATAGATACCGTCAAGCCAGTAGAGGCCGAACTCGCTGGCTCGGTCGGGACTGATGGTACGCACCAATATCGGTAGGGTATAGAGACTGGTAGAATATCATAGAGGGAAGCACAATGGAACAATACTGGTCTCAGTGCATGGGGAAACCCACCCTCTCCAATAACTAACTAACTAATCGCAAGGAGGATTTTGTTGTTAGGAAACCCCAGCGCGGTCTCAGCTCATGACTCGTCCATTTGAGATCATACTCAGGTTTGAGGTACAAAGTACTTACAAATGTAGTGAACAAGTAGTGGTACTTGTAGTCGTTCATCTGCAGCTGAAGGATCTGGAAAGGAAAATACAAAGAAAATTAGAGAAGATTAGGCCTACTGAAAACCGAACTTTACTTGTTCAGGAGCAGTACTACGCAGGCCAGCTCATTATATCAAGAACGTAAAGATAAGACACTGAAGTAAAGTTACTGAACTTTTTTGAGATAAATTAAATATTGTGTACTACGCCAAGCGTTATCCCACCAATCGCATGTGCCTGACATAACTTATTCAAATTCAACGTTTTACCTCTAGATCGCGAAAATGGCAATTCATCTCCATCTAATGGCGAAGTGGCGCTGTAACTGCAACCGCCATGCACCTCCATTGCTCAGTGTTCAGCAGAGAAACATCTTGACCTTCACCCACTGAGTCGGATATCATATCTGATATTGTTACGTAATTTCAATTTATTTCAGGGGTTATCATGTGCAGATGGTCATGTACTGTAATCCTGGTTGATTCAGAACTTCTTTAATAGTTGCAGCTACAAATTTATCACAGGTCATCATCATTGTGGCTGAGCCCTCGTGGCGAATGGATTTGTTCTGTTAACATGTGCCACTGCTAGTGCGGGAGAGTCTGAGAGTTCAGTTTCTCACAAACTGTTGACTTAATGGAGACCGGCAACAACTCCTTTAATGTGTGGGGATAAATTCATATGATAGCATGGGGCAGACTGCCTCTGTGCTCTAGTGGTCAGAGTTCTTGGCTACAGATCCAGAGGTCCGGGTTCGATTCCCGGCGCTACCAGATATTTTTCGGAGAAGTATTGGGTCTGGAACGGGGTCCACTCAGATTTATGATGACAATCGAGGAGCTATTTCAAGGAAATAGAGGTTCCGGTCTAGAAAACCGAAATTACCGGACGTGGGAATTCGTTGCCCTGACCATGCGACACCCTCTACCCGCAAAAGTTGGCGCTAAATTTCGCCAACAAGCGGCGGTTGTTCGGTCGGTATGGTTCGTTCGCGGACTGAAATCACGGAGTTTTCTTTTTGTTTGCTTGATAGTATGGGGCATGAGTCTCCAAATTTCATTTCATATGTTCAGAACTGAGAGCTACTGCGTAAGTCGGTATACTTCTCTTAACTGAAGGAAAATCATGTTAACATATTCGCCTAAGTACTGGAGTGTTTTATCTTCACTTCTGGATGAAAATGAGATAATGCACTCTTCTTATTCTCCTATTTTATTGCACTATATTTCCTTGACTTCACTTGCAAGTTTGAGATTTCAGAATGTTTTGCTGTAAGTCACATTTACACTTCAGTTCACGTAGTTCCGAACCCAGCAAACAGAGCTCGGACTGCTGTCTGCTTTAATATAAGTTCCTATCTTGGCTTTCTCCTCGACCCTGAAGATGGAGGCGTCTTATTCTTCCGACGCAGCGGTTAACTTTCACTGAAGAAAGAAATTTTCATAGTCATCGCTATAAGAACCTCAAGTCCGACCTTTATGATCTTTTATATGCCATTATTGTTTACTAATGAATATGGCTCAACATCAGAAGAAACAAACAATGTCTCACAGTCTTTCACATCGCCTTCAAATAAACACTAACTTTTTGTGGGATATATGGATAATTCTGTTTATGGTCCTATATAAACTAGGTTTTGCAGTGGATCCAAATGTTTCAAAATCAGAATCTTCCAACAACTTTTGAAGAAAGTCCCCCATTTCGAATTTCAACAACATCTGTAAAACGTTTTATAACATACATGGAAGAGTTCATTTATTGCCTGATATAAACCAGGCTTTATTACTGATCAATACTGCTGACAATCAGAATTACCCCAAAACTTGAAGTAAAAGTCTGCTTAACGCCTTATCCAAAAGTCTAGGCGCTAATGCTAGGTCACAGACAGACAGATGGATAAACGTGAATTTCACACAAGACATTCCCTTTTACAATGTACGAAAACATAAAAGGAAAGGTTCAAGAACCTTACCTAGTATTGTATTTAAGCATCCTGTTGCATTAATATATAATTTATTTCACATATATTTCCTTCTCTCAACTTATTATCTAGCCGCACATCCTCTTACTACAGGTTTCGGCCTTACAGGGCCATCATCAGGTGTCTTCTATTTTTATAAAATTGTTGCACTGTATCTAAAATTTCGTAAGGCATGTGAAAGCGATATTTCTTTATTAAAATAAATTAACCTTAGTTCAAATTAATTAACATCCCATTGTTTACTTTCTGGTCGTCGTCCATTCGTTTAAAGGATATTTGCTTGGGTATATCTTTTTTTTTTTTATTATTTATTTGTATAACATTCTTTTTGCGGCTTCGATATTATGCATGTTATTTGTGCAGATTATAAGGATGTTTATGTAGTGTTATTATCAGTTTTGTTACGTATGCACAATTACCTATAATTTTTCCACTCTCTCTGAGTATTTGTGTTGTTAATTGATTAGTGGATGTACAAGATACAGACCGATTAAACACACAACTACTCTGCCAGCGGGGAAGAACCTACAGTCAAAGATAACAAAGTGTTATGACAAAAGCCGCTGCCCACGCTGCCAGGCAGAAGTGGTATACTGCAGTCTCTTCGTGGCACAACACACTGTAGGAAATGGTGTGTGTTAATACTATGAGTCGAACATACCACCGTAAGGGAGTGGTGTACTTACTCACTTTTTGTTGTAGTAACGCACGAAAATAATGTTTCCTACACTACCCTTGGGAATTGATGCACTGTACTCGTTTCAATGTGAATTTATAGAGAGATTTCAGCAAAGTCGGCATACTACTAATTGTTACTACATTCACTGTCCTGAAGAAGAGAGCAGTCTAATTACTTTGTTGAGTTGCTTACGCCCTTGAGGAAATTATGATTTTACACATCACCCTCACAGAGTGGCCGCGTCATAGCTCAAGCGGATAGTCGCTGGCTTCCTACCGCGGTGGCCCGGGTTCGATCCCGCGTCTGGTCAAGTGGGATTTGAGGGGAAGGAGAAAACCTGCCCCAGCGCCACTTTGTCCACCATAAATCCCACTTGATCAGACCCGGGATCAAACCCGGGCCGCCACGGTAGGAAGCCAGCGACTAACCGCTTGAGCTATGGAGAGGCCTAAATTTTATATGTTACTGAGAGTTACTACTGAATAAGTGATGCTTGGTACTGAATTGGCGGTATTGTTTTTGATTCTCGGAAAGAAATATATTTTACTGGGATTTCGTGCTGAACAGGTAACGCATGATACTCACCCCCCTAAGAAAAAGATGCATGTGATAAGGGTTCGTGTCCACCACCATATTGTGTATGTCCTTGCTCTTGATTTCCTTAAGCACTGCCCTGTACGAGTCTGGATCAGCCTGTCTGAGGTGCACCTCCACGTCTCTGTTGCCAGGAGCCCGAACGAGTTCCCTCAGCTTGATGAGACCTGCGAGATGCAAAAACATGAATTCTTAAGGCGGTGCAAGCAAACAAGCTTCCATTCAAGAAGACTATTGTATAGAGTCATTACGTTGGCTTTGTACTGGGCTGGGTGCTACTTTATTCCTATATACACTTTTTTTATTGCTAGTGGGGTGGGACTAAGTCCCTTTTACTGCGGCCACTTCTGGCCTATTGTACCAGCCCCAGATGAAAGGTGAGGGTGATTGTGGAGCAATTGGTGGAATGAAGACTGGCAGGGGAAACCGAAGTACTCGGAGAAAACCTGCCCCAGAGCCACTTTGTCCACCACAAATCCCACTTGACCAGACCCGGGATCGAACCCGGGCCGCCGAGGTGGGAAGCAAGCGACTAACCGCTTGAGCTATGGCGCGGCCCTTCCTATATACACCACTGCGACATATTTGCTCAAAGCAAAAATTCTGGAATCAAAACAGTCTGCCTTTTCTAGGCAGCGGCTTGTAAACAACAGTAGAGGAATGGTGTTTTCTGAGCAGTCCGTGCATATGGCTGCGCATGCAATAATGTAATACGCGATGACATCGCTAAGCAACAACTGCGCTGCAAAAGAGGAACGGTGTTTACTACGCTGTGCATACGGAGATGTTACAAGCATGACAGCATAGCCGCTCAAGTTCAATCACTTTGAGCTGTTGCTTTGAGATGCTGATAGCTGAGGCCGGAGACAGGTCGGGAACCTGGAGGAAAGGAACGTCCACAGTTGGAAGCAGCTGCCCAGCAACGGTTAATGAAAATTTTAACAGAATGAGATCTCCTAGCGAGTCCTACAGTGATTTGTGAAAGGTATAGAACAGTGACAGCATAATCCTTTCTTGTATTTACGATTTGTAAGATTTCAATTAATCCAATTACCGATCCAAACCCCATCTATAGATACAAGAATCGTGACACTCTATTGTTTTCAGGTACACATCATTGCAGGGGTACAGAAACCCAGTGCTGGGATTGAAGCCTTGGCCTGATTCATTGGGCTCAAGACAGGGACAAGTGGCATGCTCTTGTGAGTATTGTAATGTCCCTTCAGGTTTCATACAATTACAAATATTTCTTGACTAGCTAAGCAACTATTAAGTAGTTAATATAGGATTCTGACGATGGTGTATAACACACTGATATGTTGGGTTTTTGGACTTTACCAGGACGATGGATAAAGTCCAAAAACCCAACATATCAGTAAGCAACTATTAGTTTCTCAAGAACTCTGCTTCTTCTACTTAATTAGGTACGATACGCGTATTTTATCTGAAGCATTTTTTTTTATATTTGAAAATTTAAATGAAACATGCAAGAACAATCCATGTTTACTAAATGTCAGATATAACATGAGTATATATGCATTATGTTAAAGCACATTTTTCCAAACTTTTGCATCTTCACTACGTGCGAATTGAACGATACGGATTTACGAACGTCTTTCAACTATAAGGAACGTTCTTACTTTCTTTGATTTTTATTGATATTTCTTTGGTAGTCCCCAGAGACAATTCCTAACAGGAATCAATCAGGTTATCCAAGTAAAATCTTCAAGGTTGCCGTCCTGTGTCAACAAGCAAATAGAGTTACAGATCAGTAAACCCATTTGTACTTTCCCCAAGGTCTTCCAAGGAAGGAGAAGAGGACTCTTCGTTCGATGGTGCAGAATGCTACGACAGGAACATCACGGCTCCTGACTTTGCTCGTATTTCTGACATCCTTTTCTATGTTCATCCCAGTCCTCCCCTACTATGAACGAAAGAATTGTGGGTGGGAACAGATGAGATTAAGGTACGTGGGCCTGAAAAAGTCGCCAGTACATGACTACATGCAATCCTACATAAGATTAAAGACTACAAACGTGTGTGTGTGTGTGTGGATGGGGGCGCTGCAGAGAAAATGACTAAATGTGGCTGTTTACCAACTTCAGAATCCGAAGATAACTCAGGGGAAAACAACACCATTCCTATCGCTACATAAGGAATTATAGGTTTCCTGCCAAGGTGGCCAGTTTTAGAAATTAGACGGAGAAGTTAGGTTTAGGTATATCGTTTTCTTTTCTTGTTCTTAAAGCTTGTTACTTAAATAAGTGTAGAGTTTATGTAGCGTCGATGATATGATTATTAACGAATGCGGAGTAATTTATGGAATGAGAATTGGAAGGGGAAACCAAAGTACTCGGAGAAAAAACACCGCATTGCCACAAATTCCACATGACCTTAACTGAGATAGAATTTGGGACGGCGAAGTGGGAAGCCAGCGACAAACTGCCTGAGCTATGCCATACCCGCACTTCTATACACTTATTAGTCAGTTACTGGTGATGAACATGGATGTACAGTGATTGGAAAAGAGAAGGAATATAGATGCTATAGCAAATTACGAAATCCAGGCATTTTACACAATGCCTGTGTCTGTACATACGGAATACAAATGTTGTGATTAATAAGACTATTATATACTTTATCCTATGTACTTTATATGGCTCCTACAGAAAGCCAAGACAGATTCAGGCAATGTGTTATCTTACTTTAACTAACTGGAGCTGAGACCTTCTTGAGAAGCTGTCTGTCGCTCAGCTTCTGAAGAAGTTCCACATATTTTATGGAATCCAAAGGTTCCTTACCGTGTTCACAATATCCCTCCAATATTCCCTGTCCTCAGCCACATCAATCCAGTCCGTACCATCCCATTCTGTCTCTCTGAGATCCATTTGAACAATATCCACCCACCTACTTCTTGATAATCCTACTTATGTCTTTCCTTTCGGCTTTCCCACCAATATCCTATACGCTTTCCTCTTCTCTCCCATTCGAACTACATGCCCTGCCCACCTCATCCTCCTTGACTTGATCATTCTAATTATACTTGAGAAGAGTACAAGTTATGAAGCTCCTCATTGTGCAGTTTTCTCAAATCTCCTGTCACTTCATCTCTCTTCGGTCCAAATATTCTCCTCAACATCCTGTTCTGAAACACTCTCAGTCTGTGTTCCTCCCTTAATCCCTTCTCCTCTTCTCTTCCATTAACAAAATGAATTTCTTCATTGTGCAGTAAAATAGTGATTATTATAAACTGGTTAAGCCAATCAGGGTCTAAAAGAAGCATTTTATTGTATGACGAACACAAAATCACAAATGTGTGTTTGGTTATAGTATTACAGTTCTCTCTTATTTCTAATATATTACATTTCAGCATCCTGTTGCACTGGCTAACAATATCATTTGCAAGGGCAGTCTTGCAGGTATAACTCCTTGTTGGTTTCGTAGACTTTTGGATTACTAAGCTGTCACTCTTTCTATAAACGTTATTTCTACATGTTTCGAACTTATTGCTACAATATATCGCTTTATTCTACTTCGTGATTCTAAAATTCCGTTAAAAATAGTTTATTTTTATTAAAATAAAAAAGAAAAAGAATGTTTTTCAAGAAATTCTACAACAAATCTGCTATGCGAAATTTCGAAAATATTGCTCCAGTTTCAGAGCAGCAAATAATGAAATTTTGATGTTAATGTGACTCGATTCTATAGCCTGACCAGCGATAGACTCGGATAATTATTTTCAAACGGAGGTCTACTGCTCAATTATCTAGGAAGTGATATTACATACAGAGCGACCCAAAAAGCAGTTAACTTGTCAGTAAAATTAACACTAAAATACGTTAGAAATGTATTTGTTTTGTTTTGAAACTGCATTTTTTGTAAGCGTGATCATCTGTGTTCAATGCACAACTCACAGCGCTGTGATACCGTTCTACATATTGTCTGGCAGTTTTGAATCCGAACGCTCTCGTTAAATGAAAAAATAAGAGACTGGACTTGAGCAGTTCTTGCACTGCAACCATCAAGTGAATCCCCCTCTGTTTCAACCCTTCAACAATCCCACACTTCGAAAATTAGAACATTCCGTTGATAAGAAAGACTGTTTCAGGTTTACTCACTTCTTGGCCTACTCTGTGTATCAGACAAAAATTTAAACAAAAATCGCAGTAGATGCAACAAAATATTTAATATATTAGGTAGAATCTTAAAGACCAAAACGACGTTGCCTATGTAACGCGACAAGTAAATTCACGCGGGTCTCTGATTTGGCTAAGACGTTTATTGGACAATCTTTTTTACACTCACCCTTACAATTATTATCAACTTATAACGTCCTTCAGACGTTTCTTCTTCACTCTTATAATGACTTGAACCGCTAATTTCGGTGAAGTGTCTTGATCCCTTTGTTGGATGCGAGCTTGCTTCTGCTCTAGTCGGAGCTACACTAGAAACTGATTGGTCTCGTCGAAGCTGGACTTTTATAAGGTGCACACGGACTGAATAGAGCGCACCATATAGGAGGCTTTGGTTTCCGCCCGCTGTTACGCAAAGAACCTCTTGTTGTCCCTTCATCTCCGGAGAAACTTTTTTGTTGTTTAAGTGATTCCTAGGCAACGTCCTGCTTCTATTCCGTTCCCACTGAATTATAAACGTTTATCGCAGCCACTGCCTATCAATGGACGTCTTATCGCCCGGCTTCTTGGCGGCACGCCATAATATCCAATTCAGATCATATAAATCAGCAGCACTACGTACTTTGCTGCATGGAAGTGAATCTGCAAACAGTACAAAATAAAATAAGACGAAGAAAGACAAAATTGGATAAACCATTTGAACAAATCGATGATGGGAGAAGGGCGGAACAGATATAACACCATAAAACAAAATGGCGCCGAAACCTAGGTAGACGGAAAACGGAAGAAATGAATGGAGTCTGAAGAGAATTCATTCCTTACCGTCAAGTGAAGGGTTATAAGGAGGCCCAGTGTTCATGTAAGTGGCTCGGCAAGCAAGAAGAATGGGGGGAAAAGAATGCATATAGAATTTTTGTGTGAACGGCCACTCTTAAGACCGAATAAACGGGGGGGGGGAAATAGATGTAAGGAAGAGTTCCATCTTGTGGGTTACAACGCCATGTAGTCCGCTGAAAGTCAAATCTACGTTTCCA